TGGGTCTAAGGTATGTTTTGACTAATGATTTGTTCATTTGATTTGATATCTTTGAGAGATGAGTTATTGACTTGATCGTCGGAGTGCCCTCGGGTGGATGAGCCACCATAGTATTCTTATCTTCTTGTGTGCAGGTGCATGGTTTAATCTATTATGCCACGTGCTCTCCAACTAAGTTCCCTGTTTGGTTGCGAGGTCGAAAATCAACACTCATAATTTGGCACCATCTGTGGGAACTTTGTAGAGGATAGATGGCCAACGTCGGACAAGAGGTGAGAATCGGGGACGACATACTGAAGACACCCCATTTTGACTGGCCTTCAGACTTGGACACTCTTTTCCAAACACCCAATGATGAAAGTTGGAATGTGCTATCTCACGAATTCCTCAACAGGAGAGCCAGGTTCAAGCTTTAATCCCAACCTTACACTCATTTTGGCCAAACTCTTTTAAACCCTTTTAAATATTTTTCAAATTTATATATATTTTTTCATGTGGATTCAAACATTTCTACAAAGTTCGAGGCTCGCGTTTTCAAAATTCAAGTGTTATATTTTCATAATAAATTGAGCAAAGATAAAGTGGAAATGAGTGGAAGAAATGAGAATTTTTTGGAAAAAAAACCCTATTTTCCCCTTCTAAAAAATTGTCTGGCCAAACGATTTTTTGTTTGGCCAAACACTTTTTTGTCTGGCCGAACACTTTTTTGTTCGGTCAGATGATTTTTTGTTTGGCCAACTGATTTGTCCAAGAAACAGAGCAATTTCGAGAAATTCGGCATTTTCTCCGAATTTTACACAATTATCTTAGATATTTTGACTCTAAGCTTCCTTTACAAATATCTCAGATATTTTCTTTACCTCAAAAGTCTATAAATATGGCCCTCATTCTTCATTTCAAAGGGTTACAAAATTTTGTTTACACCTACACTTCATCTTCAACTTTCCTCTACATTTTTTTTCATGCTCCTTCACTAATAAATCACCCAAAACTCTATTAAAGCTAAAATTAAGGTTGAAATTTTTTTCTAAGGGTTTGGAAGTTTGTTTTGGAAGGGTTGGAAAATCATTTTCAAAAGCTTATACCTTGAACTCAAAAGCTCACAACTTCTTTATCTCTCCCTTCATATGCCCACCACCTAAACACCATTAAACCCTGACAACTTGGAGCTCTTTGCTAAGGGTTCTTAGACTTAATCAAGAAATTTAAGGGTGCTAGGAGAGAGTTTGTGAACAAGAAAGCTTATCATCTCTTCAAGAGGTGAACTTTTGTAATTTTTCTCACTTTTCTTCTCGCTTTCCTCATCTCTAAGCTCTGTATTTCATTATTGTTGTGTTGTAATCTTGTAACAAGTCCTCATAGATGTGGAGGGAGTAGAAATTAGCCACCTATCCATTGAGTTGATAGTCTTTCTTTCCTTTCTTGCTTCCTAGTGCTATAGTTTCTTGTTGTTGTATATATATGTGATACTTGGAACCTTGTGGATGTGGAGGGAGTAGAAAGTAGCCACCCATCCACAATTTTGATTTTGTAGAGTTGTGTCTTTCATTTTATACACTTTTTCATCACATATCTCATCATCTTAGCATGTTAGCCCATATGCTTCAACCCATGCTCAATCTTAATGAGTAGTGGAGGTTGTTTCGTGGGGTTAGTTGGATGATTTTTGGGATTTGGTTTTGAGAAAGTAGTTGATTTTCATTTTTATTGGTTTTTTTTGGAAGTAAAGTAAAAGGGTTTTATGTCAAAGGTGTTGAATACCCTATTCTTAATCACTTGTGAACATGAAAAGGGATAGAAACACCCTTGTTTCATTGAATAGAAGAGGAGTTATCAATATCCTTTGATGAGTCTCTTACTTTAATATGCAAAGCTCCCACCTAGAAATGATTTGCATTAATCTACGCTTTCCACTTAATAGCATGGATTTGGGTATTAATTTGCCCTTATTCACAAAGAGAAGAGGTAGGTTCCTATTCATTTCTTGGCTTGAAGTCATTCTTGATTTTGATCCATTTAATTGTTGACTTGTTACAAAATATATGTTGTATATAAATGTTTGTATCATTGTTGAGGGTTAGGTCCCATTGGTCTCTTCCCTAAGTGATCCCTGTGAGCAGATAAGGAAAGGGTGGTGAACACCCCTCGGAAAGTGTCTTGTGGCTTTTGTTATGGAAATCCTACACTGACCTAAATCTTAGTCGGAAGATGAATTCGGCAGGCTCTTTTCCCTGTTTAGCCGACCACTGTTACGTATAGCCTTCTAACTTCTCCAAGAACAGAGTATGCAGTTTCTATGGAGTGTTCCCCCGGGTGGTTCTGGAGCTGTGGGTCAATTGCTTTTATTTATTTTATATGATTTGTTAGATTCAACAGTATCTTGGCTGAATTAATTCATTGTTGTAATAATTCCTTCAATCCCCTTTCTGTTATTTTTTATTATTATTTATTCATAGTGTTGTAATAATCTCTCTCTCTCTCTCTCTCTCTCTCTCTCTCATTCTTTCTTATTCGAATTGTTGTAATAATCTTCCAACTCCACGTCTTTCTATCACTTTTATTTACGCGCTTTCTGTATTTACACAGCTTCATGTTTTATTTATCATATCCATGCCTTGCATCTATTTTTCATGCATTAGGATTTGGCCCATTTGCATTTGTAGGATTTTTTTTTTTATGTGCCTTTGTGCGCTAACTCATGCCTTCAGATGATTCATGTATCAAATGTTAGTAGCCGGATCTTTAGTCGTATTTTGTGTATGTATTGCATTAGGTATTTACATATAAGATCATGCATATATATGTATAACATATTATTTTTTGGCTTGCCACAGAGGAGTACTAGGTGAGCATTTACAGCTTTAGCATCCCGGTTGTGTATGTTATTTTATCATGTTTGTCATCTTACCCTTAAATGATATACCTCCTTGAATGCCAGTGGATGAAGGTTGTGTTGCTGAGGTTGGAATGTTGTTGATTGTTATGCATGTGGGCTCAGTTTCTCTATGAGTTGTACATTTATTCAAAAAAAATCTTTCAAAATGCATAAAATCAAAGCATACCAAAATAAGTGATATAATCTATAAATTGCTTGACTTACTAATTTTATTATTATTAAAATAGCCGGAACATGAGCATACAATATGTATAAAACTCATATCATGGCTTAGTAGAAGCTGATCTTTTGATTAGGTGAGCGGGGGTGCTCAATTCATGACCTTCCCCCTTCATATCTAAGGTTTCGAAACGAGGCATCTTTGGTTATGGCGAACAGTGGCTTTAAGCATGAGTCACGGGTTTTCTAATTTTTCCAAAAGATTAGGTGGCGACTCTGAGATTTGGTGATGTAGTCAATTTCTGGAATATTTTGCGATAAATGAATTTTTTATAAAAGTTTCCAGATTTGGACTCTCATTTTTTATTTTATTTTATTTTTTCCCCCCACATTGCACTAGTTAGACTAGATCAGGAGATTGGGAGTTTGAATTGTTGGATGCTTTTGGTAACCACAAAAGCATCACACAGTTTCTGGCGACTCTACTAATGAAACTAAGAGACTTTGACTCGAACTCCATGATATGAGATTTATTTACATTTATATGTTCATTGCATTGAATGCATGGTGCAAATAAGTCACTATATTTGCCATTTGACATCCCGGACGGTTTGTTGGACGTGAGCTCTGCTATGGTAGGAGTACAAGCCTCAAATCTGGATCACGAACGTATTGCTTGATCATCCCTTCACTTATAGGTGTTGGGTAGGGTAGGTGTATCGGTGTCTTGCTAAGGTACCCTTTTTGACTAGACTGACCTAGTACATATATTGAATTATAGCAACTTCCAAAATTAGGACAAGATGCTTTCTTGTGTCTAAGATATGATGAAACTACTTGTTTGAATAGCGCAGCTCTAGATCTATTCAAAGCTAGAGCAGGGAAACCCTAACCGCTAGGGAAGTTTGGAATGATTGCTTATGTGCGAATATGAAATACATGCTGTACAAATGTGAAATCTTGTGAAAAGGGCACCTAATCCTTGGAGAGTCTTGATTTTAAGGAGGATTTCTTTCAAAATTTGGGATCATATTAGAATCAGAATTTGGGGTCAAATTCTAGGGGGTTGTGTTTGTTTGGTGAAGGATTAGAATTTGGGGATAATATCTAAATGGTTGAATTTACAGCAAGATTAGAACTCAGATGTCAAAATTGTGTCTTGCTTTATTTTGACCGACATGTCCAGTACTATGATCTGATAGGGTATTTGTTGTGATGCTAGGATTCACTGAGGTCAAGAGAGCTTGATTTTGTATGCTTTGGTTGGTCACCCAGGAGAAGTCATACTCAATTTAGAAATAACCCAACTAACCCAATCCAAGAAAAGCCCAGTCCAATTCAACTCAGAAAAAGCTTAACCCATCCCACTCCATATGAATCTAACCTAACCATCTCAAAAACATTTTGGTCCATTCAAATCGGTAAAAGCCAACTCTGAAAAGGTTTAGTCCATACAATCCTAGAAAAACCGTCTCCGACAAGGTCATATCCAACCAGTTCCCCTAATTGCCAACTCACCAGGTCCCATAATGGCCTAAAATCCAGTGGATCTAGTAGACATACTTACAACTCTCCAACGGACTATGGATACTCTTAACCACATAACAGCCGCTCAGGGAGATGCCATTGCCGGGATGCAACAACCAACCAAGGTAGCTGTTGCACATCCGCTGCCAATCAATTAGTCAATTCTAGACCTACCTCCTCTAGTTGAGAATTTTCCAGGTCTTGACCAACCAGACGAGCTAACCTAGGCTCCAGCTTTTAAAGCTCCAGTACATTTTATTGAGGGGCTCTTTCCACTTGATCTTACAGAGTTTGATCCGGCTATGGTAAAGATAGCTAAGTTAGAGAAACTATTCAAAAGTCACAAAGGATCAATTCAATCCGCGATATCGAGAATGGGAATATTGAAACTACTATTAGATTACCAAAAAGATTCAAGATGCCACATGTGGACCAGTTTGATGGATTAGGGGACCCCATGGTGCATATCCGGTTGTTCTCAGATGTCTTAAAGTCAATGGGCTTAGCTCAAGCCGAAAAGCTATCTCTGTTCGGGCGAACTTTGTTGGGTATAGCTGCCGCTTGGTATGCCAAATTGGAGGATTCAATGAAACAAAGTTGGAAGGAGCCGGCTGAGGCATTCATTACTCAGTACTCCTATAATGCACAAATTGAAGTAATAACTCAGGACTTAGAAGTAACTCGTCAAGAGCGCAAAGAGAGCTTTGTGGAATTTATAACAAGACGAAGAGCCAAAGCGGCCATGATGACCAACATGCCTTCAGAGAAGGATCAAATTCGAATGGTCGTGAGAAATTTATATGGCAAGATATTGCAAAAGATGATAGTCCTTCCGTTCTTTTCCTTTAAATATTTGCATCAAATGGGGGTCCAGATTTTAGATGTCATGAAGCAAAGAATCATATTAGATGAGCAAGAACCTGTGAGAAAGACCTTTGTTTGCGATTCCAATGCTACTAGAAGTAGTAGCACAACCACGAAACCTTCAGAAATCAACATTGTTACCACCTCAACCAAAATAACCAACCCGCTTGCTGAAACCAACCCACAACTTCACAAATCAACCAGGCCTTGTAGCTAGTTTTTCGCGTTCCTCGGATGGGTTAGTCTCTTAGGGTACGATCGCCCTACAGTTCAGACTCCCGTGATTCTGAATCTGGTTTCACAAGTGCATTGTGAAACAGAAAAATGAATGAGAGTCCAAATCCGGCAAATCTTAGAAATCCATTAATCATCAGAGATGCCAAAAATGGACTGCATTGCCAGATTTCAGAGTCGCCACCTAAATATTTTTAGAAAATTTAGGAAACCCGTGACTCATGCCAAAGGCCACTTGTCCATCATAACCAAAGTTGTCTCGGTTCGGGAACTTAGGTATGAGAGGGAAAGGTCATGAATTGAACACCCCCCTCACTCGATCAAAGATCAGCCTCTACTAATCATGATGTGAATTTTATTAACATTATATGTTCTTATTCTGATTTTATTGTGCTAACTTACTATGTGAGGCACACAAGTATAGACTGGTTCGCTTGCTTTGGAAATGACTTGATTTTATGTGATTTTCGTTAAAAAAGTTTTGAGTGCGCACAACTCAAAAGGAAAGAAATGAGCTCGTACATATATTTAATCAAAATCATCCCCAATGCAAGTAAAATAACCTTCATCCACAGGCATTCAAACAGTTTATTTCGAGTAAGCATGTAGCTTCATGGTACGATGCTAAGCATGGAAATAATCACATACATGAATATGCTAAAGCCAAAAGTGCTCACCTAGTACTACGAGGTAAGCCAAAGAAAAAGAAAGTAATCAGAAAATGTATGACCCTAACAAATGCACATGACTAAAGCAACATATACAAGAATGCAACAATTAGGTTCAGCTTATTAACATGTCATATGGATTAACTCAAAATATGTGGTAACGCACGTATTCAAGTAAGTAGGAAATGACAATGATATCCAATAATGATGAACCAAACCTTAATGCATGCAAAAATGGATGCAAAGCATGGCAATGATATGAAACGAAAACATAATGCTATATACAACCACGATAAGCATGTAAGTAAAACGGAGAAAGAAATGAGGGTTGGAAGACATACAAGTATTACAAATTTGCCCTCACACAAGAGGGTCCGAATGATTATTACAAACAAAAATGAATAAACTAATTGATTAACTAATTATTACAAGTCTGAATGAAAGCAAAGTAACTAATTAATTACATATACGAATCAAAGATACTAATCTAAAAGGAATTTGAACGGGAGGCGAGGAACCGTATGTGCGCAATCGAGAACACCTTCCGAAAACCTCTCTGTTTACTACCAGAACTTGCTCTGTTTAAAGTCAAAAAATTGTTCTGTTTTGGCCTCAGGATTTGCTCTGTTCTGATGTAAAATACCACTGCCACACAAAATGCTTGGCCGGCTGGCTTGATACGATGGTCGACTATACAGAATAATGGTTGGTCGGCCACTATTTTTGAGGAATACCCTGCTGTAACAGAGTTGGAACAGAGCAAGACAGAATGTTTCCAGGAGATGTTTATCCTCTCTACCCTTCCCTATCATGAAGATGCTCAAGGGAAGAGTAGATTTGATTGTCAAATCATTAATCATCGCAAATTTGTTTCGTGATGATCTTAGAAACGATAGGACAACAGTTTAATAAATGCAACAAAAGATAAACAATACCTCCTCCCTATCATAAAGTTACCTCTAGAGAGGGGGTAGACTTGCCTCATGAATCATCGAACATCACTGAAATAGTATGTTATAATTCTAGAAGTAATAGATTCAGTATAACGTCTAACTGAACCTAGCCAAATTTTATTATCTTGTAACCTCTTTTTTTTACTCAAATTTTATCAGCCTTTTTACTTTACCTTTCATTTTCTTTATCTTTTCTCCTTTTTTGTCCGAAAATGATGATTAAGTCCACTAAGTCCAAAGCAAGAAAGATTAACAAGCATGACTTGACGCGAGAAATGAACTCTTCAAGCCCTTTTCTACGGGGGAAATTACAAATGAGGAATCAAACTCATTTACAAGTGATAATGAATTCGGAGTCAAACCCGAAACGGATGATAATGACTCCAAATCCAAACCCGATAATGAGCTATAATGAATCCTTCCTTTATGATTTCTAAGGGTCTAACTATAAATTTAGTCCCTTAAAAGTACCACATCGGTGACTGGAGGAGATGTCAAACAAGAGATTGTGCTTAGTATAAGGAAAATGTGATGCCCTGGTAATGAACCTCCGAAGAGATTAAACCATTTAGCACGAGGAACCCTCCTTCATACCAAGAACAATAACTCTCCATTTCATACAACCTTTGATCGAAAGAGCAAAGAAAGAGGGAAGGTTACAGAGTATGAATAAAAAGTAAATGATTACAATGACTTGAATATATACATGAAAGTTGTAAAAATGAAGGAAAAGGTTATCAACTCAAACGGATTGGCGACTATGTCCTAAACACACCAAATCCGAGAGGACTTATAACAACACAATTATAGTATTCAAAGCATAATTTAACACATTAAAAAGAACTCAAACATCACAAAAATAGTGCTGAAAATCAAGTTTAGGAAGTGCAAAAAGTGGGCAAAAATGGAATAAAACCAAGGGGTTTCATCTAACCAACAAGCCTAAGGAATGGTGGCTGACCCCTCCCCTTTTTGTGACTTTAAATCACATATTTTAGGCCTCAAAACACTCTAAAAATAACAAGTAAATATAAGAAAAAGAGAAAGAAAAGATGGTTGAAGAGTTCAAAGATTACCCTTTGAAAGAGAGGATATCTGTAGACACCCCATTTTTGACCGACCTTAAGACTTAGACGTCATCGATTGAGTGCTCGATGATCGCGCATGTTTGTGCTCGTTTTGAGTTTCCGGAGTTTGCGGCTAAGTGCCTTGCCTCCGGGCCTCTGAACTCTTTGTGTTTTGGCTTGGTTTGTGGACCATGCCTTGTTGCCCTTGCCTGGAGGGAGAGAGAGGCCTGCAGGCCACTTTTTGTGGTCGTAGACTACTTTTCTCTCTTGTAGGCTAGTTTTTGGTTTCCAGAGCCTTCGGTCGAGCGCCTTGTCTCGGGACCCCTTAACGTTCTCCTCTTGGTTTGGTTTTTGAACCATGCCTTGTTGCCTTGGTCTAGAAGGAAACAGAGGTCTGCAGACCACTTTTTGTGGCCGTAGACCACCTTTCCCTCTCGTAGACCACTTTTTGTACATGTAGACTAGTTTTCGGGGCTTCCCGCTGTGCGCCTTATCCCGCGGACTTTTGTCTTGCTTCCTTTTTGGTTTGGTTTTGAACCGAACCTTGTTTTCCTTGCTTGGAGGGTGGAATAAGGGGTGTAGACTAGTTTCTCTCCCTGAAGACCACTTTTCTTCCCTGCCAGCCAGTTTTCTGGTCAGCCAGCTGGTCTTGATGGTCTGTGGACCAGCAAAAGTAGTCGGCAGCCATGCCACCACCTTGCTTTCTTTGTGTAGACCACTCCTCCCCCTTGCCGACCACTTTCTCTTCCTGCAGACCACTTTTTTTGGTCGGCCGACCAGTGCAAGTAGCTGGCCGACCACTTCAACTGGTCGGCAGCTTTCCAGCACTTTCTACAGATATTTTCCATGCCAGCTGTGCCAGCTATTGGGCATAGAAAACATCCTCTATACACGTGTATGGAGGGATTGATTCAAGCTTCAACTTGTTGAACAAGCTTGATGCATGGTTTTCTATAAAAGGGAGCCTCCTCCCTCTTGTCTCAGGTTCAGAAAAATTGTTTAGGGCATATACATATCATCTATCTCTATACTTCATCCTTGCTCTACATATTTGTGCTTGAAAGTGTAGTTTCTTCACATTTTTGCACACAAACACCTACTCAAACACCATACACTTGGAGCTGAGGCACCTTGAAGCTGGTTTTGGAGTTTTTGGATTGCTTTTGGTCAAAAAAGGTTGCTGGAGTTGCTGCTTTGAAGTTGTTCTTCAAGGGTGAGTTTCTAACCCCTTAAACCTTTGTTTTTGATCAAGCTTTTGGCCCTATTTGCATGATGTTTTAGGCTTAACTTTCAACTACAAAAAGTTCTGATTTTAAGTGCTTGAAATGTTTGTTTAAGGTCTCTTTGGTGTTGGCGGTGGTCTACCCCATTTTGTGCCTTGTTTGGCCTTGTTTTGGGCCATCACTTTAGGCCTTTGTAATCACCTTTGTTTGGCCTTCCTACTACTGAAACTCAGAGGAGTTTCAGTAGTAGAAACTTGGTTTTGAGGCCCCAAATGTGTGGGGGTTTTCCCCTCTCCTCTTCTCTTGGGTGCTTGTGTTGATGGCTCATCAAAGTAGCATGTTTGTTAAGCTTGTTTTGGCTCCATCTCAGCCTATTTTTGGCCTTATTTCAGTATGGCATACCTCTATTTTGGCTTAGTTTAGGCCACCCTTGCATGCTTCTTGTATGAGTAGTGTAATCTTACTTGTGGCTCATCAAAGTAGCATGTTTGTTAAGCTTGTTTTGGCTCCATCTTAGCATGTCTTAGGCATTATTTCAGCATGTTATAGCTCTGTCTAGGGTTGGTTTGATAGCCTCTTGCATGCTCCTTGCACTTGTAGTGCATTTCCATTCACTAGGCTAACATGCATCATGCTTTTGACCATCATTCTAGCATGTTTTTGACTCAACTCCAGGAAGCTTTTACTCATGTTTTGCCATGCTTAAGCTCTGTTTTAAGTATTTTGGGTCATGCATGCCTTACTTTGTATAGCCATAGTTCATTCTTACTCACTAGCTTTGTGTTTTGAGTCCACTAGCATGCATTGCTTGGGCTATTTGCATGATCTAGCATCATTTGATATATGATTTCAAAGCATGTTTCATTGTCATACACTCACATCTATCACTTTTTCAATGCTTTGGAGGGTTGGTGCTTTATGCCTCTAGTATGAGCCAATGTGTATGCCATCTTGCCTAGGTTTTTGGGCTACCATTTCAGTGTGTATTTGGTCTTGTTTTACCATGTTACAACTTTGATTTTTGTTGGTAAAGTCATCTCATGCTTGGTTTTGGTAGGTGTAGTATAACCTT